AAATCTGGATTTGAAGTTCATGGTTTTTTTCATTTTTGGAGTATTTTTGGACAAAGAGAAGAAAAAGAGGGTAGTATTCTCTTTGGTGTGCAGAGAGGTTAACTTTATAATTGGATAAAAAATGGTTGTTAGGTCTAGTGGTTAGTTATATAATTGCTTTAAATGAACACTTTATGTTTCTTTTATAAGGTTTTTTTGTTTTACTAAAAGCATGATAATTAAGAAAAATATTTTTAATACTTAACTAAAACATTTTCTAACCAATAAAAATGTATATCAAAATAAAAACAATCATAAAATACCAATTACATATAATTTGGTATAAAGTTTATGGAAAAATAATTAAAATAAACCAAAAAAAAAACATAAATTTTTAAAACATCTGCTAAAATGAGAAAAAACATAATATATATTAAAATTCTTATCCTGGGACAAAACCCCAAAATATTTTTGTGATGGTTTGGTTAAAAAATTAACTAGTTGAGCAATCATTGCCACACAAACGCTATTTTATTTCTTGACAGTTTATGAAATTCAAATTTAGTTTAATAAATGTTCTACAACTTGTGAGAGGTTGTACTTGCCTTCGGTCAAGAAACTGTTTATTAGACAAATATGAATTGTTACATAACAAAAAAATTCTGCAATTAGTTATAAACTATAATTTTGTCATGTTTGAATTTTTTTTTTTTGTCATGTATCATACTATAATCGAAAACATTAAATTTTATTTAATATATATATCAATTAGTTATGCATTGGTTTGAAAGTGCATTTCCTGGCTAGATCGATTATGTTTGTGTATGCAACGATTATGTAAGAGCATAAAGTAAATTGACACAAAAGATTTGTTAATTAGGGTTTGTTTCCTTATTCTCCTTGTCCACGTCCAGAAATAATTCATTAGAATAAGTTTGCAACTACAATTGCATATGATATATGACACTACAATACCTACTACTCTTTTCTAGATGAAATACCAACATATAAAGATAGGTATCAAACACGCATGCTTGATCACCAACTGGCAGCACTGGTGCATCACCGTCTTTTTAACGACTGCAATCTTCATAGAAAATCTACAAATCTATATGATGGGACGACGCTATACTCATATATACATCTCACAATAGAATCCTAGACGCATAAATGTTTTTGTTTACGCCTAATGACTTTCCAAGTCACGTGGGTTTCAAGTCCATAAGCATCAAAGCCCGCAACCAATCCTATTCACTGTATCAACTGCTTCAACATTTTGATTAAAAACGAAAAATTAAACTAACAAAAAAGAATTGAAAAAGAGGCGAAAATTGACGTAAAGTTGGACATAATCAATAATCTGGCCTAATAATTCCTTAATTATCTAATCACCAAAAGGCGCAGAATAATCTCATCCTCCGCCACTTGGATGATAAAAACCAAAAACCAGATACACGCGTGAATCTCACTCGGCCGTAACGCTGTGAGTAAACGTCCGTTTGTCTCGTTACATCAAAAATTTTAAGAAAATCTTAAATAATGAAAGTAATTAGAAACTAATCAGAATAATCTTGAACCAATGGGCTATGGCCCAAAACTGAAATTATTTCGGGTTGGAACTTTAATTAACGGTTTGATATATAGATCGAACCGGTTACCCAAAACCATTCTTATCTAGAGGTACATCTAATACTATTCAGACAAATTTAGTGTTTTTTAATCATGTTTTTGGGCGTATATTTAACCAATGATGCATTTTAATGGTAAAAGTTGGTTTTCGTTGGAATTAAATAATTAATCGGATTCTTGGTTCAAGATTCTTTCAATCTTTTTTTCCGTAAACATTTTTTGTTAAAAGATAAATATGATCGTAAAATGAAAGTAGATTTACAAAAGTTGAAATCTATAATCTATACTATTTCGGCAAAAAGTAAAAAGTAGTATCTATTATGGTTTTGGAAACCACAAGAGTAGGAAAAGGTTTAGCCACTGATTATCTAAGCCATAGTTGCATAACATTTTTTGTTTTTTGATAAAAAAAATTATTTCATTCTTTACAAGGAAAAAACACAAGAAAAATTATTTCGATATAAGAACTCAATTTCGAT